CTGCGTGCAACGGCGCTCATCTAGTGGTGGGGAGTTCCCTGCCACCGACGGGTGTTCTCGTCAGCCGTTGCACTTCTGCAATTCCACGGGGAAAGACCACCCTCCCGACGTAATACAGAACGCGTTATACGCGTTTATCGAAGACATCCGCGACCGCCATTACGACACCCGGACTCGCCATTGATACGGCGCGCTAAGTCCCGCGCCGGGAGATGATCCACATCCCTACCGCGACACCGACCGATAGCCGCCATCAATAAGTACGCGGCGAAGGACCGCCCACCGGGCCGACCGAAATTACCGCCCGATAGATAACGGCCTCGGCCGAAATCGCTGTCCGCGATCTATAATCGATGTTCTATCGATCCGCCGAAATCGCGCACCGCGCAACGCATCCGTGCGTTGCATCGAAAACGGGTTTTGGTATTACGAGCATAAAAAGAAATATTGTCGGAATATAAGAATACAGGTGCGGTTACATATCCAAATAAAAAGAAACGTTGCCTATCTTTCAGAGAAAAGATCGACGAATGTGATAAAAATGTCATTCGGAGAAAAGTGCACGGATTTTACATCAATAAAGAATTACCAACATTGAACAAAGTTCTGCAAGCCGTAAACGCCGACGAAGATCTTCCAAATTTTAAACGATCGACCTTTCATTTATTATTAAAAGACTTAAATTTTGCATATACCACCCGACACCGCAACAGCATACTATATTATTATTTTTTTTGTTTAATATTATTATTTTATTTTTTTTCAAAAATATTATTATTTGTTTTGTTCACACATATTATTATTATTTCTTTCATGTATTATTATTACTTATTTCGTATTCATATTCTGTATATATACGTATTTTACAATATTCTGCTGACTTACTTCCGAAAGGATAGACCTTATTCCTCTTATTCCTTATTTAATATTAACCCCACTCATTACGTACTCAGTTTTCTTAATAAAAATATTAAGGATTTAATTATTTCGTAAATTATAAACATTCAATTGTGTAATTCAAATATATTACAACTCTTGCTCTTATAATTGCCTGTCATATTATTTTTTATTTTAGTTTCGTATCGCGTGTAAGAATCAGATTTCTATTTTATATCATATTGAAATTAATCGAGATTATTTCATCCGTTTAATTTTTTAAACTGACATGAGATAATAGTCCCGGGCCCGAGGGAGCCGTATCTACGTATACGGTATTGAGTATCTCGCCATGTTCTCCCCACTTTGCCCGCTTATGCGCGAACCGAGATCATTCTCTTTTTGGATAGAATATAGACTTTGTGGTAGATTCGTTCCATACAAGAAAGTTGTAAACGGCAATGTCAAGCTTAAGTATGAAATATGTAGTTTTAAATTAACACAAGTATGTTAATACTGTAATCAACGAAAGTTACGAAGGATAGTCAAACGATTATAGATTTATTTTTTACTAATAATAAGGTACAAGTACAGGTGATTTGTGAACTTAAAATAACGGATCTTGGGTGAAAATTAAGTTTGGATAGTAAGTATACTAACAAGTGCGAATAAAGCTAAGAATAAGTATAGAAAATTTAGCGCTAGGAACTATAATAGTTTTAATGTAGACAAATTTATTACATTAGTTGAAAATAAAATAGAGCAAGATTACGAGGGTTTAGAAATCATTAGAAAAGCAAAGAAATTTGTTGACAATATAATAGATGCGCTGGACATTATAGCATATAGGAAAAAGTTTAGAATTCTGAAAGTATGGGAAGAGAAAAAGTGGTTTTCAGATGTATAAGAGAAGCAGCGGTTAAAAGAGATAAAACATTGTATGATGATATACAATAAAGCATTGTATGATGATAGGGAGCAAAATTGGTGGCAGTTTAAAATGGAAAAAAATGCAGTGGTTAAATTAGTCAGAGAAAAGAAGAAAAAATATTATGAAAATATGATAGATTGTAATAAGGAAGATCCTACATGTGAAAAACCTTGAAAGAGATAATTAGAGGCAAACTAATGGGTACAAAAGAAATAGAGAATATAGATTTTAAAATATTAAAACGTGAATGAGAGTGCAATATAGCTGATAAAAATATGTTTTATATACAGAGTATTAGTAACAAAATAAAATCCATAAATAGTGATAAGTTCAGAAGTGCAAATAGAACAACTATTTATGTTATTGAGAATAAAGGAATTATTTATATAAAAAATTTTGAGATGAATAAAATAGAGGACTTAGAGAAAATTGTTATGGGACTGCCAAAAAAGAAAGGCACGGAAGAGAGAATAACTAGTGATATATTAGAAGTAGCGTTCTGTCTAATAAAGGAAGAGTTTGTTGCTATTGTAAATGATTCCTTGAGAGAAAATTGCTGTCCAGAGAATTGGAAAACATCCACGACAATACCCATTCCAAAAATAAAAAGAACTAAAAAAGCTAGTGAATATAGGCCTATTAATATGCTACCAATATTTGAAAAAGTGCTAGAATTAGTAGTAAAAAGGCAAACTGAAATATATCTGGAATCTAATAGTACTATAACGAAACATCAATCCAGTTTTAGAAAACAATATTCGTGTGAAACGGAGATTCAAACTATTATACGAATGGAAATTAATAATTAGTAAAGATAAAATGGTGGGGGTAAATTTTATGGATTCTAAGCGAGTATTTAAAACAATGGATAGAGAAAGATTAATAGAAAAATTATATCAATATAAAATTAGAGGAATGGTTTTAGAATGGTTAAAATCATATTTAAGTAATAGAACACAACAGGTTTGTTTCAATGATAAATGGTCTAAATTAATTGTTACTGAATATGAAGTGCCACAGGAGTCTGTATTAGGAGCATTGTTATTTACCGTAAATATAAAGAATCAAAGTATGTCCAGAAGTATGTAAAAACTATAAAAATAGTTAATATAAAAATGTTTATAGATGATACGCTAATATATATATATATAACTAGAGAAAGTAGCGGAATTAGAAAGAAAAATAAATATGGCATTTATTAAAATAGAAAAGTGGATAAATACAAATAAGTTAAAAATGAATACAGGAAAAACAAAATATATGATAATCAGAAGTATAAGAAAAGAATTGAAAGAAAATATTACGCTGAAATGTCTAGATGAAACTGAAATAGAACGAGTAGAAATATAAAATAATTAGGCATAATTATTGATGTGATAAACTTTTCGATTTAAAAACCACTGTGTGATTATGTGTTAAAAAAATAGGAGAAAAGACAAGGTTTTTAAAATAGAATTGGTAATTTTATATCGGCTTATACGGACTTCCGTTTCCGGTGCGAGGTAGTAAGTGTGGACGAAAGAGCGTTAGAAAAGGAAGTGTGCGAGAAAGGTAGAAAAGAGAGAGAGAGAGAGTGAGCAAGGAGTGTGAGCGGGAAGAGTGGAGTGAAGAGTGTACGGTGGAGTGGAGGCGCGGTCAGCGAGGGGAGGGACAGAGTAGGAGGGGGAGAAGAAGAACAGAAGCATAGGAGGTTAGGGAGATAGTATTAGAAAGAGAAAGGAGTCACGTGGTAGATAAGAAATACATAGAGTGGCGACCGAACAGGTAGAATTGGAGAACGTGCAAAGAGTAACCGAAACACATAGAAAAGAGGTAGGACAAGAGAAAAAGACAGTAGAGAGGGGAATAGTAGAGGAAAAGGGAAGGATTATGAAAGGGAAAGTGGGAGCGAGAGGGACAGAGAGGCGAGGAAGCACAGGGAATATAGAGGAAATGTGGAAAAGGAAAAGGGAACTAATGGAGGGGCTGGGAGGAAAAAGAGCGGAGGAAGAAATGGGGATAGCAAAGAAAGGAAAGATAAAAGGATCGCCGCAAAAAGAGATAATAGAAGGGGGAGGAAGAGAAGAGCTGGTTAAGGGAAATGAAAGAGGAATGGAAAAAGGAAATGAAGGATGGAATACGGGAAATTAGGGAGATGCTGAGGGAAGAATTAAGAGGACATATAGGAGATTTGAAAAAGGAAATGGAGGGGTTGGTAAAGATGAGGTTAAACGAGAGGGAAAAGTTATGGGAGAGAGAAAGAGAGGATCTAAAGGAAAAGGTAGAAGGTTTAGAGCAGGAGATAATTAAGCTAAAATCAAGGGAAGAGGGGAAGGGGAAGATAGGGGAGGAAAAAGGGGGAGAAATGGAAAGGAAATTAAAAGAGATGGAGAAATGGAGAGAAATGAAAGAAAGGGAGGAGAGGAGAAGGAATGTAGTGGTAAAAGGGGTAAGAGGGGGGATAAAAGAAGTAGAGATAAAGGTAAGGGAGTTAATACAAGAACTAGGAATAGAGGCGGAGACGGAGGAGGTGAAATGTGTAGAGAATAGAACAGAGGAGAAGAAGGGGACGGCGATAGTTAAAATAAAAAAAGTGGAAGGAAAAAAAGAGATAATGAAAAGGAGAAGAGAAATAAAAGATAAGGAGATAATAATTGACAACGACTTGACATGGAAAGAACGGAAAATTAGATGGAACTTAGAGGAGGTAGCGAGAAGGGAAAGCGAGAAGAGTGGAGTGAAGAGTGTACGGTGGAGTAGAGGCGCGGTCAGCGAGGGGAGGGACAGAGTAGGAGGGGGAGAAGAAGAACAGAAGCATAGGAGGTTAGGGAGATAGTATTAGAGAAAGAAAGGAGTCACGTGGTAGATAAGAAATACATAGAGTGGCGACCGAACAGGTAGAATAGGAGAACGTGCAAAGAGTAACCGAAACACATAGAAAAGAGGTAGGACAAGAGAAAAAGACAGTAGAGAGGGGAATAGTAGAGGAAAAGGGAAGGATTATGAAAGGGAAGGTGGGAGCGAGAGGGACAGAGAGGCGAGGAAGCACAGGGAATATAGAGGAAATGTGGAAAAGGAAAAGGGAACTAATGGAGGGGCTGGGAGGAAAAAGAGCGGAGGAAGAAATGGGGATAGCAAAGAAAGGAAAGATAAAAGGATCGCTGCAAAAAGAGATAATAGAAGGGGGGAGGAAGAGAAGAGCTGGTTAAAAGAAATGAAAGAGGAATGGAAAAAGGAAATGAAGGATGGAATACGGGAAATTAGGGAGATGCTGAGGGAAGAATTAAGAGGACATATAGGAGATTTGAAAAAGGAAATGGAGGGGTTGGTAAAGATGAGGTTAAACGAGAGGGAAAAGTTATGGGAGAGAGAAAGAGAGGATCTAAAGGAAAAGGTAGAAGGTTTAGAGCAGGAGATAATTAAGCTAAAATCAAGGGAAGAGGGGAAGGGGAAGATAGGGGAGGAAAAAGGGGGAGAAATGGAAAGGAAATTAAAAGAGATGGAGAAATGGAGAGAAATGAAAGAAAGGGAGGAGAGGAAAAGGAATGTAGTGGTAAGAGGGGTAAGAGAGGGGATAAAAGAAGTAGAGATAAAAGTAAGGGAGTTAATACAAGAACTAGGAATAGAGGCGGAGATGGAGGATTTGAAATGTGTAGAGAATAGAACAGAGGAGAAGAAGGGGACGGCGATAGTTAAAATAAAAAAAGTGAAAGGAAAGAAAGAGATAATGAAAAGCAGAAGAGAAGTAAAAGATAAGGAGATAAGAATTGACGATGACTTGACATGGAAAGAACGGAAAATGAGATGGAACCTAGAGGAGGTAGCGAGAAGGGAAAGAAAGAAAGGAAAAAGAGTAAGAGTAAGTTATGGTAAGATTCAAATAGAAGGTAAATGGTGAAAGTGGGAAGAAGAAGAGGAAAGACTAAGAGATAATGAGGGGTTAATATGGAAAGAACAGGGGGAAGAGAAAGAGAGGGAGAAGGAGAAAAGGGATAAAGAGAAGGAAGGAGGAAAATGTGGAGCAAGAGGGAGTGTGGAAGGCAGTCTTTTGGAACATAGCATGAGTAGAAAACAAGGATAAAGAGTTTTGGCAGAGGGCTAAAAGATGGGATATAATAGTTATGTTAGAGACATGGATAGAAGAAAAGAGATGGGAAAAAATAAAGGAAAGACTACCAAGAGAATTTACATGGAAGGCGCAAATGGCGAAAAGAAGAAATAGAAAGGGAAGAGCGAGGGACGGGATGCTAATAGGGGTCAAAAAGAACATAAAGATAGAGGAGGAAAGGGAAGAAGAGGTGGAAGGAAGATTGGTATGTAAGGTAAGAGTAGGAGAAGAGATGTGGAGAATAATAGGCATATATGTGAATGGGGATATGGATAGGAAGCTAGAGAGTTTAAAAAGTTGGATGGAGGCAGGGGTGAAGGAGGTAAAGACAATAATAGGGGGAGACTTTAATGCAAGGACAGGAGAGAAAGGAGGATGGATGAGAGAAGAAGAAGCAAAGGAGGGGGGAAAAGGAAGAAGATCGAAAGACAAGAAAATAAATGGAGAAGGTAGGAAACTGATAGAATGCATAGAGAATAGGGGGTGGTCAATTCTAAATGGAAGTGTAAAGGGGGACGAAGAGGGGGAATTTACTTACATAGGAGGAAGGGGAGAAACGGTTATCGACTACATTATAGGGGAAGATAAGATGAGAGAAAAGATAGAAAGAGTAGAAATAGGAGAGGAGGTAGATTCAGACCATCTACCGGTGATAGCGTGGATAAAGGGAAGCATGAATAAAGGAGGGAGAAAACAAATAGATGGTAGAATAAGAAAACAGGGGGTATGGGACGAAAAAAGAAAAGAGGTGTTTAGAAAAGAATTAGGAAATGTGAGAAGAGGAGATGAAGGAATACAAGAGGAAATAGAGGAAATGGAAAAGAGGTTAAGGACAATATTAGAGAAATGTGAAGAGAAGAATGGAATAGAAAAGGGGAAAAAAAGGGGATGGTGGGATAAAGAGTGTAAGGAGAAAAAAGAGAAATGAGGAAAGAATTAAGAAGCTGAAAAAAAAGGGAGGAGGAGGAGATAGATATAGAGAAAAGAAAAGGGAATACAAGGAGCTATACGAGGAAAAAAAAGAAAGAAAGAGAGAGGATAGTAAGAGAGGCAGGGGAAGCAAGAACAGAAAGTAAGGTATGGGAAATGGTAAGGAAAGAAAGAGGAGATGGAAACGAAGGGAATACTTTCGGAAAGCCAAGCAGGATTCAGAAAAGGGATGGAAACCATAGATCAGATATACGCGCTGAACTATCTGATAAACAGGCAGCTAGGTAAAAAAAGAGGGAAAATGACGGCAGTGTTCGTGGATCTAAAAGCGGCGTTTGACTCGGTGGATAGGGAGATACTAATTAGGGCGATGAGGGAGATACAATGGTATGGATGGTAATGGGATACGGGGCGGAGATATGAGGATGGAAAGAGAGAAAGGAGACAGAGGAAATACATGAGAGGTACCTAAAATGGACAATGGGGGTCGACTGGAGAACACCAGGTTACATGATAAGGGACGAGGTAAAGAGAGAGTTAATGAGAGGAAGAACAGGGAAAAGGGCATGGAACTTTGAGAAGAGACTAGAGGAAGGAAAGGGAACAGAAATTGCAAGAAAGTGTTGGATAGAGATGAGGGAAAGATGGAAAAGAGGGAGAGTAATAGGAGGTTGGGAACAAGAAAGAAAGGAGTTTCTAAGAAAAAGAGGGGTGCAGGAAGGCGAAGAAGAAAAAATGTGCTATGAGACACTAGAGGAAAGAGACAAGGAAATGCAAGAGGAAGAAAGGATGAAGAAAATAGGCGAGTCAAGATACAACAAGTGGTACAGAAGAGTGAGGGAAAAAGGGATACCAGAGTATCTGAAAAAGAATTGGACGGAAAGTAGATGGAGAAGGATAATAAGGTTTAGACTAGGAAACGAGATAAAAGAAGGACTATACTGGGAGAATGAAGATAAGAGGAGCTGTAAAATGTGCGGGAGAGAGGAAGAGACATGGGAACATGTATGGGAGGAATGTGTAGGAAGAGGGATAAGAAGGGAAGAGAGTTGGCAGGAGGCAGTAAGAGTGGGGAAGGAGAGGGACGAGGAGAAAGAGGGAGGGAGGATGGAGGGGGGAGGTTGAAGCGGAAGCAAGGTGGGTGAGTGGTAGGAGGGAGGGAAGGAGTGAGAGAGGAGAGAGGAAAGGGGAAAGAGAGAGAGAGAGAAAGATTTGTAAATAGCATCGGAGAGATTTCATTATATATAATTTTCAGGGTTGGGAAAGTTACTTTATAAAAGTAACTCGTTACCGTTACCGTTCTTGTTTCTAAAAAGTAACTTGTTACCGTTACTCGTTACCAATTTTAAAAAGTAACTCGTTACCGTTACCGTTACTCAAAAAATAACGAGTCGTTATAATTTCCGTTAGTTTTTTATATATAACAATAACTTTACATACAATTTTTTTTAATACAAGATCAAATTAAACACTAAAAATTTTTAAACATTGTCTTACAAAGAAACAAGATACCAAAATGAGTTTTCAGTAGTTTTCATGTAATGCTGCATTCCAACACTCTTATCAATATTTTCCTTTGTATGAAAATTATACCGAGTAAATTCAAAAAAAGTAACGATAAAAGTAACTGTTAAATTCGTTACTCGTTACCGAAAAATGTAACGAAGTTACTTTTTCCGTTACAAACAAAATTTGTAACGCCGTTACCGTTACAGTTACCGAAAAAAGTAACTGTAACGGTAACGGCGTTACAAGTAACGCGTTACTTCCCAACCCTGGTATTTTTTAACAAAGATTTTTTAAGAATTATTAATTTATTTATCAGATATGTAAAGAAGAGATTAAAAACTGATCAAATTAGGTAAATTAAGTATAATATATTGATAGTTACAATTTTATCTTATTAACAAAATTTATAAGTTTAATTAATCAATTGAGCGACGACACAGTCGAACACATCATTCTAGCTGTGTACGATTGTGTCGACTTGTGTCGTAGTTGAAAAGCACTGAGTCGTACACTGTGTTACACAGTGTCGCCTGTGTACGTTGCTGGAAAGCACCCAATGCCTTACGAGATAAAACGATGCAAAAGAATTGAATCTTTTAAGCGAATGTTAAAGGAGCATATTTTACTAAATCTAACTAATTGTAATTTTATATTACAAATAACTGATAAAAATCAATTAATCAATTAATCGAAAATAGCGAAATCTAAATCGTTTATCGGAAAGCGAAGGAAACTTGAAAAAAAGTTCGGTTATTTGCGTCCGGATAATTTCCTGCCTATGTTCTAACTAAACTTCACACGCGACAGAATAAAGAAATCTCAAATTCGATATCTATATTTCTAATAGTAATCAAAAAACATGTATATGAATTAAAAGGTAAAAAAAATACGCCAAGTACATAAAAAATATCCCAACTTGTACGCAACAAAAAGTTTAAAAAATTATTTAGCTCTAAAAAACAGCTTATGAAAAAATTTTGGGTGGAGTTCCGAAAAGGGCCCGGCTCCGATTTCGATGAAACTTTGTAAAAAGTTTCCTTTCAGTTTCAAATGAAAGATCCTAAAAGGAATTTTGGCGACTCCTACAAGAAAGTCAGTTTTTAAGAGAAAATGGTATTGAATCCATAATTATTTACATTAGTGGATTTACATTTATACTTCGCCAATGACCTTGACCTTCACATATGTTGTAAGGGTGAGGTTGCTGATTAATATTCACTTTGTTTTATTTGGCGGTCTTGCATATTTTTTAAGATATTTAACGAAAAAAGTTTACCGAGTTATACTATTTTACATGGATTTATAACTTTCTGCGCGAAGCGAGATCCATCCCATATCGCCCTGTGCTTCGGACGCGAAACGAGGTTTATAACTAAACGATTTCACATGGGTTTGCAACTTTCTGCGCGAAGCGAGGTCCATTCTATATCGCCCTGTGCTTCGGACGCGAAACGAGGTTTATAATTAAATGATTTCATATGGGTTTGCAACTTTCTGCGCGAAGCGAGATCCATTCCTTATCGCCCTGTGCTTCGGACGCGAAACGAGGTTTATAATTATACGATTTCACATGAGTTTGCAATTTTCTGGCCGAAGCGAGGTCCATCCCATATCGCTCTGTGCTTCGGACGCGAAACTAAATCGGAAATAGGTTTTTACAATTGTTGTGTGGATTGCCCTTTTTCTGTATAATTACCTTTGAAAATTACAAATCCATGTAAAATCGTATAACTCGGTAAATCTTTTTCGTTAAATATCTCAAAAACTATACGAGATCGCCAAATAAAACAAAGTGAATATTAATCAGCAACCTCACCTTTACAACATATGTGAAAGTCAAAATTATTGGCGAGATATTTGCTAATGTAAATAATTATCACAATTGTTATACTTTTTTACTATTTTCTCTTAAAAAATGACTTTCTCGTAGGAGTCGCCAAAATTCCTTTTAGGGGCTTTCATTTTAACCTGAAAGGACTAAAAAATAAAAAAACCCTAAAAATTAAAAAATAGCTTATAAAAAAATTTTCCCCTAAAAATTAAAAAACAGCTTATAAAAAAGTTTTCCTCTACAAAGTAAAAAACCCCTAAAAGATAAAAAATAAAAATTAAATATGAAATCAATAATTAATTAGCCAAGTAGTTAGAAGTAATTCAGTTTGTGAGGATTTGTAATTTGAAATAGTATTTGTCATAAAATCAATCTTGCATTTATAGAAATATTATAGATTCTCTCGAGAAAATTAAAATTAATCTTAATCTTTTTCGTTCCGAGCCTTTGGTAAAGCTTATGATTAATTTTAAAACAAGTCGATCAATTTGGCACGGGGCATTTTTAAATTTAAAATTAGTGCTTGATGTGATCGACATTATTGCAATAAGGGTTAAGTAGTTATATGATTTACTATTTGTAATAAAATCAGCAATATAATAGTGCTATTTTATATATTATACAAAATATTTACTTGGGAGGGAAATATAATAGTGTAATTTTTTAATAAAAATAAAATGCATTTTAATTTTTTCGAGAGAATTTATAATATTTCTATAAATGCAAGATTGATTTTATGACAAATACTATTTCAAATTACAAATCCTCACAAACTGAATTACTTCTAAGTACTTGGCTAATTAATTATTAATTTCATATTTAGTTTTAATTTTTTATTTTTAGGGGTTTTTTATTTTTTAGAGGACAATTTTTTTATAAGCTATTCTTTAATTTTTTAGGGAAAAATTTTCTTATAAGCTGTTTTTTAGAGATAAATAATTTTTTAAACTTTTTGTTACGTACAAGTTATTTTTATGTACTTGGCTTATGTACAAGGGATATTTTTTATGTACTTGGCGTATATTTTTTGCCTTTGTAAGATTTTTTTTAGTGGGATATTACCTCTTTTTTGTAAAAATTTATATTTTTTCTGAAAAACATAAATTACTACATTATACAGTATATACATGGATGTGATTTTTTTAAAGATTTATTTAATAGAAAGGACATTTTTTTGGAAGGAATTACATAAATAGTATACATTTTTACAAAGCTTATATATACCATATTGAATTTGAGCGGACACAATCACAACGTGTCTTATAATACTCAAACTCTTATTGTCAATCATTTAACAGGTTTCAAAACACGATATAATTTTAATACAGATATTAAACTGTATACAAACTCTATAATCAATAATAATATAAATTGTGTAAGTGAATGAAAATATCAAAATATAGAAAGCAATAAAAGGGAAATTTTTTTTATTACAAAGCGCGCGTCATATATTTAATATAAATATGAAACAAGTCCATTTTATTGAATAAACCAATACACATAAACGGTATATAATTCCTTCTTAAATGTATTCTAATAAATAATATGATCAGAAAAGATCAAATATTTTTTTGCATTTATTGATTTATTAAATATGCTTATATATCACGAAATAGTGCAATACAAGAAGAAAAGTGATAAAGTGATTAACGGTTATTAAGAGTATCGTGGAATAGTGCAAGAAAGAGAAGTGATTTCTTTTAATAGATATTAAATTTGAGCAA